ACTCCATCACGGAATCCGTCACCGAGACAAGCCCACTCTCATCCTGTCCTCCTCCCAGTGGTGAACACCACTAGTCACTGCCTCTTTACATCATGGATTCCGCTGGTTTGAGCAAGACCTCTCCTACTTCTCTGGTCATTCCATAAAGGTCTCCGTTTTCTTCAGTGTCAGAGTTCCTCAGGGGCCTCTCCTCACTCTCCATCTGCTCCTGTGCTCTTCTGCTCACTTAGCTGCCATCACTATCTGTCCTGCATTGACTCAATGTCCTTCACAAAGTTATATGTTGAAGTCCTAACTTCCAATACGTCAGACTGTGACCTTATTTGGAAATAGGGTTATTGCAGATGTGATTCATGAAGATGAGGTCATACTGGAGTAGGGTGGCCCCTAATCAATACGACTGGTGTTCATATCAAAAGAGGAAATGTGGACACACACAGGTAGGAAAAACATTGCTGTGGCCTGAATATCCCCCCAAATTCATGTGCTGAAACTTAGTCCCCATTATGGTCATATTAAGAGGAGGAAGCGGGCACAGTGGCTCACATCTGTAATCCCAGCACTTTGGGAGGCTGAAGTGAGAGGATCTCTTGAAGCCAGGAGTTTGCAATCAGTCTGGGCAACATAGTAAGACCATATCTCTACAAAAAATAAATAAATAAAAATCAGTCAGGCATGGTGGTGCATGCCTGTAGTCCCAGCTATTTGGGAGGCCAAGGCAGGCAGTTCCCTTGAGTCCAGGAATTTGAGGTTACAGTGAGCTGTGATCCCAAAACTGCACTCCAACCTTGGTGACAGAGAGATATCCTGCCTCTGAAAAAAAAAAAAAAAGAAGTAGGGCCTTTTGTGACATGATTAAGTCATGAGGGCTCTTCCCTCATGAATGATTAACGGCCTTATAAAAGAGGTTTCTGAGAGTGTTCACCCCTCTTGCTCTCTTGACTTTCTGTTCCTTCCGTCAGGTGAGGAAACCCAGATGCATCATCTCTGAGGCACAGACCTTCACAGACACCGAACCTGCCAGTGCCTGGATCTTGGACCTCCCAGTCTCTAGAACTGAAAGGAATAAATTTCTGTTCTTTATAAATTATCCAGCCTGTGGTATTTTGTCATAGCAGCATAAACACACTAAGATGTTTGTGAAGATGAAGATGGAGATCAGGGTGATGCTTCCACCAGGCAGGGAGAGCCAAAGATTTCCAGCGGAACACCAGAAGCCAGGGGAGAGGCATGGAATGGATCATTCCTCACGGCCCCCAGAACGAACCCACCCTGCTGATATTCCGATCTTGACTTCTAGTCTCCAGAAGTGTGGGACAATAAGTCTCTGTTGTTTAAGGCAGTGGTCCCATAATTCAAGAAGGAGATGTACAAAAGAAGAAAAAAAAGACAGTAGTCCCCAACCTTTTTGGCACCAGGGACAAGTTTCAGAGAAGACAATTTTTTTTTTTTTTTTTTTTATGAGATGGAGTCTCACTCTGTCACCCTGGCTGGAGTGCAGTGGTACCATCTCAGCTCACTGCAACCTCTGGCTCCCAGGTTCAAGTGATTCTGCTGCCTCAGTCTCCTGAGTAGCTGGGATTACAGGTGTGTGCCACCAGGTCCAGCTAATTTTGTTTTTGTTTTTGTTTTTGTTTTGTTTTGTTTTGTTTTTTAGTAGGGACAAGTTTCCACCATGCTGACCAGGCTGGTCTCAAACTCCTGACCTCAGGTGATCCACCTGCACCGGCCTCTCAAAGTGCTGGAATTACAGGTGTGAGCCATAGTGCCTGGCCTCAGAGAAGACAGTCTTTCCACAGATCGGAAGGATTGGGGGTTGGGGGAATGATTTGGGGGTGAAACTTCTACCTCAGGTCATCAGGCATTCAATTATCATAAGAAGCTCACAACCTAGATCCTTCTCCTGTGCAGTTCACAATAGGGTTTGTGCTCCTATGAGAATCTAATTCCACCACTGATCTGCAGCAGTAACGCTCATTCACCCTGCTCACCTCCTGCTGTGCCACCTGGTTCCTAACAGGTCATGAGCCAGTACCAGTTTGCAGGCCAAGGGGTTGGAGACCCCTGGTTTAAGACACCCAGTTTGTAGTGCTTTCTTACAGCAAAGCTGCCAACTAACACACCATCTAAATGCCGATGACTACCAAATCTCCAGCTCCAGTCTCTAAGCCCCAGGCCATTTCGGACATTGAATATCCTACTAATTTGTGCCTGAGTCTTAATTTATAAAGGTGGCTGAGTGAGGCCATGAAGAGGTCAGTGCCATTGAAAGAAAACCTTGGCCGGGCGCGGTGGCTCAAGCCTGTAATCCCAGCACTTTGGGAGGCCGAGGCGGGTGGATCACGAGGTCAAGAGATCGAGACCATCCTGGTCAACATGGTGAAATCCCGTCTCTACTTAAAAATACAAAAAATCAGCTGGGCATGGTGGCGTGTGCCTGTATCCCAGCTACTCAGGAGGCTGAGGCAGGAGAATTGCCTGAACCCAGGAGACGGAGGTTGCGGTGAGCCGAGATCGCGCCATTGCACTCCAGCCTGGGTAACGAGAGCGAAACTCCGTCTCAAAAAAAAAAAAAGAAAGAAAGAAAGAAAGAAAACCTTAATGTTATTCACAGTTCCTCCAGAAACAAGAGGCACGGTCACGCGCCGGGCGCGGTGGCTCAAGCCTGTAATCCCAGCACTTTGGGAGGCTGAGGCGGGTGGATCACGAGGTCAAGAGATCGAGACCATCCTGGTCAACATGGTGAAACCCCGTCTCTACTAAAGGTGCAAAAAATTAGCTGGGCATGGTGGCGCGTGCCTGTAATCCCAGCTACTCCGGAGGCTGAGGCAGGAGAATTGCCTGAACCCAGGAGGCGGAGGTTGCGGTGAGCCGAGATCGCGCCATTGCACTCCAGCCTGGGTAACAAGAGCGAAACTCCGTCTCAAAAAAAAAAAAAAAAAAAAAAAAAAAAAAAGAGGCACGGTCACAAGGGGAATTGCTAGTGTCACTCAGGAGGCGGAAAGGAGGGAGGGGAAGGTACAGGCCTTTATTGGGGTTTGCACAGGCAAGACAGGAGAAGCAGTTTGGGACTGGCTAGTATGAATAATTCCAGAGCACTCTGGGGCCCAAGAACTGGTCCTAGTTACCTGATCCTGAGTTGATTTAGGGCAGGGGAGATACTGGCTTGGAGTGTGAAAGTTGGAGAAAGGAAGTGGCTCAGAGTATGAGCTCTGGATCGCAGGGGAGATGTAAACAACTTTGGCCATTAGGCTGGACCTGTGATTTATGGATGCCAAATAGACAAATACAGAACCTAAGAAAACAGTTAAAACACCGACCAGCACCCCAACCTCCACATGCTTGTGTCTAAATGCATCATCTTCCTCTTCAAACCTTCCTCTCCTCTGTTTCCCTATCCCAAGGACAGACTCTTTATATCTGTGCAATCAGAAACCTGGGGTCATCCATGTTCCTCCTTCTCCCCCTACCTCCAACCTACTACCAGGTCCTATCAATTCTGCCTCCGATCTTGAAGATGTTCGCTCCTCTCCTGGGTATCCTCCATTCCAGGCAGCATCTTTTGAGCCTGGGGTTCTGTTAGCAGTCTCCCAATGGCTATCTGCTCCTACTTTCCTCCTCCCATCTATTCTCTGAGCAACTGAATGATTCTCCTAAAACAGGCGTCCCCAAACTACGGCCCGCGGGCCGCATGCGGCCCCCTGAGGCCATTTATCCGGCCCCCTGCAGCACTTCAGGAAGGGGCACCTCTTTCATTGGTGGTCAGTGAGACGAACACAGTATGTGGCGGCCCTCCAACGGTCTGAGGGACAGTGAACTGGCCCCCTGTGTAAAAAGTTTGGGGATACCTGTTCTAAAACATAACTCATGTCACCCTTCCCTTCTTAAAACCCTTGGATGGCTTTCCTCTGGCCTAGGATAAACTGCGGATGCTCACAAGCTGGTCCTTGGCCACCCACATGCTCTAACCACACCACATTTCTGTCCAGACATCCTTCACCTGCAGGCTTCTGCCTATGCTGTCCCCTCTGCTATAACACCCTCCTGTGAATTCCAGGCACCCCCGCAGTGCTCCCACGGCACCAGTACTTCCCTTGCGTGGACCTCATTAAGCCCTGATGACTTGTGGACCTCCTAGAAGCTTTACGGCGTATTGATACCTAGGGTCCTCTCCAGACCAACTGTATCAGGGGTAGGGGCTGGGCACTGGTAGTTTTAAAAATCCCAGATGATTCTGATCTGCATTCAAAGTTGAAAGCCACTACTCTAGTAGACAACCTGTATTCCAATGAAGTTAGGGACAGTAACATGGGAAGTCTGTATGGAGTGCCTGGTACACAGCGGGTGGTGAGCAAATTATTTACCGTCTGAGGACTGTGTGGCAGGAACTGTATGATATGCAGAGTGACACTGCAGGAAGCTGCATGTGTGTGCAATGCCACCACTGAGCAACTGAAAGCCGTGTGACAGTGTGGGGTGTCAGGCGGACAGTGACGTCCTGCAGGTGAGGGTCACTGTGAATGGCTGTAGTCAGAGCAGAATGTCACCGCGGAGTGGCTGTGTCCTGTGTGTGAGACTGTGAGTGCGTGAGGGACTCTGGCCAGGCTGCTGGACTCGGGGAGCCCCCAGGGAAGAAACTGAGGGCGCTGGAGATGCCCCGCACCAAGATGGCAGCTGGGGGAGTCCGCGTGTCTCGGGCTGCACCGCCAGGAACCGCAGAGGGGAAGCAGGAGGTGGGGGAGGCCGGGAGGCCACCGAAGGCCACTTGGGTCAGATCCGCGCGAGGCACCAGGCGCAGCCGCCCAGCCGCGCGACTTCCTAGCGCCGCCTCTCACCGCCCAGCCGCGGGCACCGGCAGAGGGCGGGGCCGGCAGCACGAACGGCCGGCCGGCAGTGGGGACTGGACCTGCACAGGCCGCCTATGGTGGGCGGGCCCGTGAGTCACAGCCGGCGAGCCGGGGCCAGCCAGGAGCCTGAGGGACGGAAGCCCCCAGCACAAGATGCTGAGCTCCTTCCTGAGCCCCCAGAATGGCACCTGGGCAGACACCTTCTCTCTACTCTTGGCTCTTGCTGTTGCCCTCTACTTGGGCTACTATTGGGCATGTGTGCTCCAGGTGGGTGCGGGTCCAGCGCTCTGGCCGGCTGGTTTGGGTGTAGGCGGCAGCTTCCAGACCCGGGTTTGAGCCCTTGGTGGGAGCTGGAATGGTTGGGCTTCCCCACAGGTGAAATTTGCTACAACCGAATGGAGAGTCAGCTCTGCCTCCGTAGTGCCTCTGTTTCTCATGTGCTCCCCATGCCAGCTGGGCCTTTTGGGCACCAGAGGGTGCTGCTCCTTATGATGTGGACAACCATTTGGGGAAAGGTGGGGTGGAAAGCATCCTGAGGTGTCAGAGATGTGCACACTTTGCATTCCTTTCCTTTTTTTTTTTTTTTTTTTTTGAGACGGAGTTTCGCCCTTGTTACCCAGGCTGGAGTGCAATGGCGCGATCTCAGCTCACGGCAACCTCCGCCTCCTGGGGACAGGCAATTCTCCTGCCTCAGCCTCCTGAGTAGCTGGGATTACAGGCACGTGCCACCATGCCCAGCTAATTTTTTGCACTTTTAGTAGAGACGGGGTTTCACCATGTTGACCAGGATGGTCTCGATCTCTCGACCTCGTGATCCACCCACCTCGGCCTCCCAAAGTGCTGGGATTACAGGCTTGAGCCACCGCGCCCGGCGCATTCCTTTCCTTTTTTAGGTCGTTTAGCTGAGTCTTTCAGCTGCACTGAAGGAAGGAACCAGAGGTCTGTGGGGTCATGTCTAACTCCCAACACTGCCCCCTCCATCACCCAATAGCTTAGTAGGACCTCCCTTCCCTTAAGGGCTGGCCGAGGTTCCTGCCTAGCTCAGGGAGCTGAGGCAAATGGATCACTTGACGTGAGGAGTTCAAGATCTGCCTGGCCAACATGGTGAAACCACCATCTCTACTGAAAACACAAAAATTAGTCAGGCTTGGTGGCACAGGCCTATAGTCCCAGCTACTCGGAAGGCTGAAGCAAGAGAATTGCTTGAACCGGGAGGCTGTGGTGAGCCGAGATGGCACCACTGCACTCCAGCCTGGGTGTCAGAGCAAAACTCCATCTCAAAAAAAAGACAGCAACTCAAAATCTTGGCAATTAGGAGGCAATACACAGCAGTGACTAGACAGCGCAGGCTCTAGGGTCAGATGGACCTGGGTTTGAATCTCCTGCTCTGCCACTCACTAGCTCTGGCAAGCTTCTGACCCTTGACAAGTTATTCAGCATTCAAATCCATTCACACAGGGGGATCACAGATCTTATGTCATGGAACTGTTGTGAAAATCAAAAGATAAAATTTTTGTAAAGTGCTTAGCACAATGCCTGGAGCTTCATGAGCACTCAACACATTTTACCTACAAGTACTGGTGGTAATGTCATAATTTTTTTTTTTTTTTTTTTTTTTTTTTGAGACGCAGTTTCGCTCTCGTTACCCAGGCTGGAGTGCAATGGCGCGATCTCGGCTCACCGCAACCTCCGCCTCCTGGGTTCAGGCAATTCTCCTGCCTCAGCCTCCTAAGTAGCTGGGATTACAGGCACGCGCCACCACGCCCAGCTAGTTTTTTGTATTTTTAGTAGAGACGGGGTTTCACTATGTTGACCAAGATGGTCTCGATCTCTCGACCTCGTGATCCACCCGCCTCGGCCTCCCAAAGTGCTGGGATTACAGGCTTGAGCCACCGAGCCCAGCCGGTAATGTCATAATTGATCATTGTTTTGCCTCTTGCTTGCTGTGTAACTGGACATACCACTAACCTGTCAGTCATAACTTCTTCACTTATAAAATATCTCATAAGCGCCGGGCGCGGTGGCTCACGCCTATAATCCCAGCACTTTAGGAGGCCGAGGCAGGTGGATCACGAGGTCAAGAGATCAAGACCATCTTGGTCAGCAAGGTGAAACCCCGTCTCTACTAAAAATACAAAAATTAGCCAGGCATGGTGGTGCACGCCTGTAGTCCCAGCTACTCAGGAGGCTGAGGCAGGAGAATTGCTTGAACCCAGGAGGCGGAGGTTGCGGTGAGCCGAGATTGTGCCATTGCACTCCAGCCTGGGTAACAACAGGGAAACTCTGTCTTAAAAAAAAAAAAAAAAAAATCTCGTAAACTTGGGTTTAGCCCAGTACCTGCATGCAAATGACAGCTGTCATAATTCCAGGGCTTAAGGACTAGGGTCCAAAGTCACACCTCCCAACAGTTGCACCATCAACTTGGCCTCTCTACCATTTGTTTCTGTTGACATAGGCACTGTACTGTAGATAGAAACCTGGTCTTCATGTTCCGTAGGGCCTGCTACAGAAATGCAGTTTCTATTACTGAACCTATGTGCATACTTCTCCTTCACACGCCTTCCACGTGGCTAGGACCTCTCATTCACTTGATGTCTGTCCAGAACAGAGCAGAGAAGCTCAAGGTCAGGGCTCAGTGCCCACTGACCTCATTTGTGCCTGTTATTTCATCCTTGTCACCTTCCCCCTGGCTGGCACGAAGGAAGAAAAGAATCCGTTCACATTAGGGCTGTTCTTCCTTTAGAGCACAATCTAACAGCAGGGGCTTCACAAGTAAGAGAAGATAAGCCCCTCAGCAGTGATCACGAACATCAGAGAACAGGAATATGCAGATGATGCTGTGCTAAAATCAGGAGCCAGAGTGGCCAGAGTCAGGCTTAGGAAGAAGGCAGTGTACCTATCATCTTCAACTGCAAAGTAATGGGTAAAGATTAAATGGTGCTGTATTTCTTCAGCGCCTGCCCAGAACCCCGACTTTTTCTCCAGGGGATCGGCTGGGCACTTATTGACAGGGTCTCACTTGTCACCCAGGCTATAGTATAGTGGTGCTGTCACAGCTCATGGCAGCCTCGAACTCCTGAGCTCAAGCGATCCTTCCACCTCAGCCTCCCAAGGGGCTGGGACCACAGACGCACACCACTGAGCCTGGCTGTTTACATTACCTGCTCTCTCCCAAATGGGTTTGAGGTATGGATAGGCTGAGCAGGAGAGTCAGCTCAGCACCTCCTAGTTCAGGGTCAATTCTGGGCAGTGATGCTGGGCTCAGTGGCTCACGCCTGTAATCCCAGCACTTTGGGAGGCTGAGGTGGGCGGATCACCTGAGCTCAGGAATTCAAGACCAGCCTGACCAATATGGTGAAACCTCATCTTAAAAAATAAAAAAATAAAAAAATAAATAAATAAATAAAAATTCTGGGCAATGTCACACCAGGACTGGGTCTTTTGGGGGCTCTAGCTGGAGTGTATTATCAGAGACTTGGCCATTCAAATGAGCTGTGCTGGGTATCTCACGTCCAGACAAGCAGGGTCCTTCAGGCTGGCCTCTGGAGAGGGGCCCACTCATCCTCTGGTGTTGGGTGCCTTACTAGTTTGGTGCAAGTCAGGTAAGTGAGGCAGACTGTTGTGTGACTACAGAGGCCTCGGCTGGTGGCTGGGCTGCAGTTTCTGGCCTTCCTGGAGCGACACCGTTCCATCACCACAGAGACTTTCTACCCAATGCTGCGGTGTTTTGAGGGGCGACTACAAAGCATCTTCCAAGTCTTCCTGCAGTCTCGGCCCCTAGTCCTTTACCAGAGGTAAGAAGGGACAGTACAGGGTGAACATGAAACCCCAGGTATCTAGGGAAAATCTGTCTACCTCTTTAAAAATGTAGGTAATCTGCCGGGCGCGGTGGCTCAAGCCTGTAAGCCCAGCACTTTGGGAGGCCGAGGCGGGTGGATCAAGAGGTCGAGAGTTCAAGACCATCCTGGTCGACATGGTGAAACCCCGTCTCCACTAAAAATACAAAAAATCAGCTGGGCATGGTGGCGTGTGCCTGTAATCCCAGCTACTCAGGAAGCTGAGGCAGGAGAATTGCCTGAACCCAGGAGGCGGAGGTTGCAGTGAGCCGAGATCGCGCCATTGCACTCCAGCCTGGGTAACAAGAGCAAAACTCCGTCTCAAAAAAAAAAAAAAAAAAAAAGTAGGTAGGCCGGGCGCGGTGGCTCAAGCCTGTAATCCCAGCACTTTGGGAGGCCGAGGCGGGTGGATCACGAGGTCGAAAGATCAAGACCGTCCTGGTCAACATAGTGAAACCCCGTCTCTACTAAAAATACTAAAAAAAAACTAGCTGGGCATGGTGGCGCGTGCCTGTAATCCCACCCACTCAGGAGGCTGAGGCAGGAGAATTGCCTGAACCCAGGAGGCGGAGGTTGCGGTGAGCCAAGATCGCGCCATTGCACTCCAGCCTGGGTAACAAGAGGGAAACTCTGTCTCAAAAAAAAAAAAAAAAAAAAAAAAAGTAGGTAATCTTTGCCCCACCTACCTCCATGTGTCGAAAGAGTACAATGAGAGAGGATATTATATGGAAGGCTATGTAATTGCATGGCCACCAGGTAATGATCCTTTATATCCCCCTTCCACCTTGTTAAGCCTTACCATCTCACATGAAGCACACCTTCAAATGATGCTAATTCAAAGTTATGAGACTTGTTTGTGGGTGGGGCAGGGGACAAAGCTTTTAAAGTATATTAAGTTCCTAATAGTGGCCGGGTGGGGTGGCTCACATCCGTTAATCCCAGCACTTTGGGAGGCCAAGGCAGGTGGATCACCTAAGGTCAGGAGTTTGAGACCAGCCTGACCAACACAGAGAAACCCTGTCTCTATAAATTTAAAAAAATAATAAAATTTAAAAAAAGGTCCTAATAGTATCTTTGTGTCCCTTTTCCTCCAAAACCACAGTGATGTCCTCCAAACACCAGATGGAGGCCAGCTCCTGCTAGACTGGGCCAAGCAGCCTGAAAGCAGCCAAGACCCTGATCACACTACCCAGCCCATTGTGTTGCTGCTTCCTGGCATCACCGGCAGTAGCCAGGAGACATATGTGTTGCATCTAGTTAACCAAGCTCTGAGGGATGGCTACCAGTAAGGATGGGTGGAGCCCAGGAGTGGGGTGGCATCTGAGAACGTGTCATAGAAGTCAATCCAGACACCAATATGAAGAATGCTACACGAAGGGAGGCTCTGGACAGGGGTCTTTCTGAACACTACAGAAAAGGGGAGAGGGGCTGTTAAGGAGGGTCTGGCTAACAGGTACCTGTGTGTGTCACAGGGCTGTTGTGTTTAACAACCGGGGCTGCCGTGGGGAGGCACTGCAGGCAAGTTGCCTGCCTTCCTCATAGCAGCCCTTCACCCACTCCCTTTAGAGATCCTTGGCCCTGGGGCTCTACCTCCTACCTATCCTTCCTCGATTTCCCTGCCACCTCCTGAGCCCTTCTGTTGTTCTACCTTCTGGCCATGGTTTCTCTCCCTACCCAATGATCTGGTTTGCCCTCAGACCCACAGGGCTTTTTGTGCCAGTAATACTGAAGATCTACAGACAGTCATGAACCACATAAAGCATCGCTTTCCCCGAGCTCCACGGCTGGCCGTGGGCACCTCTTTTGGAGGGTAAATGTTGCCTGGCTTAACCCAGAGGCCCAGTCCTCCTTTCTTTTCTCCTTCACATCCCTGCCCTCTATCCCAACTCACATTAATGCAAACCCTTCTTTCATGGTGCATTGTCCAATCCTACAGGATACGGGTGCTGAATTATCTGGCACAGGCCGGGCAGGCTGCAGGGATGGTGGCAGCACTGACTGTCTGCATGCTGGGATTCCTTTGAGACCACCCATTCCCTGGAATCCCCACTCAACCTGCTGCTCTTCAATCAGCCCCTCACTGCTGGGCTCTGCCGACTTGTGCAGCGGCAGGGTCTTGGCAAGTGGGAGGTGGCAGTAGACAGAGTAAGATGGCAGACATTCCAGACTCTCCTAGAGCTTGGTCAGTTCTCTCTGGGCTTCCTCACATGAGATAATCAGACAGGGGCTGGGGGTTGCAGGTCAGGTCCAGGTGTCAAGCCAAACTCTTATGTATTCTTGCAGAAACAGAAAGGTGATTGAAAAGGTGGTGGACATAGACTTTGTGCTACAGGTATAATCTTCAGCCATGCCTCTTGTCCCCCCAAATGAGTCTTCCACTATCTTCCTGTTCTTTATCATCATAGCCTATCCTACATCCACCACCTGCAGGCCCGCACAATCCACGAGTTTGATGAGCGCTACACATCTGTGGCCTTTGGATATCAAGACTGTGTTACTGGCCGGGCGCGGTGGCTCAAGCCTGTAATCCCAGCACTTTGGGAGGCCGAGGCGGGTGGATCACAAGGTCGAGAGATCGAGACCATCCTGGTCAACATGGTGAAACCCCGTCTCTACTAAAAGTGCAAAAAATTAGCTGGACATGGTGGCACGTGCCTGTAATCCCAGCTACTCAGGAGGCTGAGGCAGAATTGCCTGAGCCCAGGAGGCGGAGGTTGCGGTGAGCCGAGATCGCGCCATTGCACTCCAGCCTGGGTAACAAGGGCGAAACTCCGTCTCAAAAAAAAAAAAAAAAAAAAGACTGTGTTACCTACTACAAAGCAGCGAGCCCAAGAACCAAGGTAGATGCCATCCAGCTCCCTGTGCTCTGTCTCAATGCAGCCGATGACCCCTTCTCCCCGGTCCATGGTAAGTACTCTGAATCAGGACGCTTTGGTCTCAAGGAAAATGGGCCATGAGGGACACGTACAGAGAGCCTGGGCTCCCAGTGAAAGCCAACCTGCTTGTCCTCCTGACCCCCTCCTAGCCCTTCCCATACAGGATGCCCAACACTCCCCCTACATTGCGCTGCTCATCACAGCCCGTGGTGGCCACACTGGCTTCTTGGAAGGGCTGCTCCCCTGGCAGCACTGCTATATGAGCCGCCTCTTGCATGAATACACCAGAGCCATCTTCCAGCACCCAGAGGGGCTGCCTGACCTCAGGACTCTCTCACCTTCTGAGAACAGAAACAGCTGACAAGAGGACCATTTGGGGTCTCAGTTCAGTCTTTCCTTGTTTATTAAATACCAACTTTTCCTGCCTAATGGGCTAAAGTTCATTTTTGGTAGACTAGGAACTTTTGGCATCTTTAGGCCACTGGCTTGGCGCTACCCATCTGAACCCCTAGATTACTACCCGAGTCTTCCTTTTGCCCCTTTCTGCCCTAACAGCAAGTACCAGGCCAGTCCCTTCCCCAGCAAATGCCAGGGACTTCATGTGAAGAGCAACTGGCCACAAGGCTGTGAGGGAAGGAGGAGAAACTGTTTCTGCAGAAAGGACAACAGTGCCTCCAGGCTCTTGGACATCTTCACATGCTTTTAGAGAAATGGACAAGCTCAACTCTGGAGCCTCTGGTAGGCAGAAGGAAGGAGGCAGGGAGTGTGGCTTGGGCTTCAGACACCACTGTTCTGGGTGGATCCACAGATGATGAAGGCAGGGTTCCTGGGACCCAGAGTCTCACAGGGCCATAACCAAGCCTTTGGTGCTCATCCATGGTATCAGAGGCAACCTCAGCTGTGGACCCAGACAGAGTGAGCAAAGGGAGTCCAGGCCTCCACTCTGCTCTAGAGATGGCAGTGTCCAGGCTCCTGATTCCCAGGAAGCAGGGAGGCTAAAGGAAACCTGGAAAGGCACTCTGGAGCAGCAGAATGGTCACAACAATAAGCCCGACACACACCAGGAGCAGGAGCCACACAGGAACACTCCCTGCAGGAGGGTAAGAGAAGAGGTCAGCAGGCAGAGGAGCATCACAGCCTGAAAACCAGAACCCTTCAAAGGGGGAGTGGACAGCTACAAACAAGAGCCCAGCCTCCAGGGGGCCACACTTCTGCTCCAGTTAAAGGTGGGGTGGTACCTGCCCACCCTGCCCCAATGACTCACGCCGTGAGGGCAAGAGATGCAGCTGGCAACGACTGTCCACAGCCACAGAGAACAGGGCAGTTTCATGGGACCCAAGGAGCTCTGGACCACGACCCTTCTCAGGTAGAAAGGCCACATCCGTCACCACAATGCCATGGGACTCCCTCATGTAGTAGAGGCACTGGGGGAAGAAGGAAAACCAGTGATGAAAGCCTAGCTGGGAACTCTCTTTCTGGAAAGCATGCTCCCCACCCCCAGGTTTTCCCTCTATAAAACAGGCCAGATTCTTTCCTGCACACTCAGGGCTGTGCCAACCTCCACTCATTACCTGGAGAGAGAAAGCTATGTAGATGGCAACAGAGCCTGTGACCGTGCCCAGGCCTAGGAAGGTGCCGGACTCACTGTAACAAACAATAAAGTGCTCGTTGTCCTGGAGGCTTGTGCAGCAACCCTCTTACCCCAATACCGGTCCACAGGGACCCAGGCAGGACTCCTTTCCAAGCTCCCTCAGGGACCCCCTACCTAGCCAAGGCAGCAATGTCTCACACCTGACGTTGAGGCAGGAGATGACTTCATGGCCACAGGACTTGGTCCGAAGGGGCAAGAAGTTGGAGCCATCCCAGGCTGTGAGGTAGCAGGGAGGGGGCTGGCGCAGGCGCTTGTGGGGAATTTGCACTGTGAAAAGTCGCAGCCCAGCAGGCTGGTCTGGAACCTGCCCAAACCTGGGGGCCGGAAGAGGGGCTGTTCAGCTTCTGGGGCCTGCCCAACCCTCCTCAGAGGTTTGTGCACCACCTACACCATAGTCAGACCTGGGGTAACACTCAGCAAGGTCCTCCCCAGCTCCCCCATCCCCAGTCTTTTCCCTCTGCCCCACCACAGCTGGGCTCTGCCTCTTTCAGTCACCCACACAAGGTCTTCACACCTGCAGGCCTGGTAGCGATAAGGTGTGCTGGAAAAAGTGGGTCCGTTCTCTTGCCAGTGCAGCTGCGTCACCAGCTGATCCTTCTGCCACACAGAGGCCTTAAGGTCCCAGCCCACGGTTACCAACTAGTCAGGAATAAAGATTCCAAGGACGGACAGTTAGGGGATTCACTTACTGGGCAAGCAGCATAAGCACCTACTCTCTCCTTTCTCTACCCTCCTCCCACTCCAGCCCCTCACCTTGCCATCAGGCCCTAAAGCCAGGTCTTCAATCTCCCCTTCGTGGGCTTTGAACTCCAGAACCTTTTCCAGGCTGGGTACCTGTAGCCAAACCACCACTATGGTTAACCCAGGTCCCCAGCAAGTACACGGTGACTGATCCCCATCCCACCCCTTCTAATGGCCCCTCAATGCAAGCTTCATTCACAAGTTTCTGAGATGCCATGTTCAGTTTCTGACAATTTTGGTCTTGCTGCTACCGACATTCATCCTCCCTAACCCCGCAAACCCACACCTTCCAGACACGAACGTAGCCATCTGTCCCTCCAGTGGCAAGCAGGGTATTATCGTGGTTGAAGCACACAACTTTCTGCAGTGGATCAGGGCTGAAGTCTGTCTGCACCACCTGCAAATTCTCTACCCTGAGTTCTAGTCCCTCTTGCTGGGTTTCCACTCCACATTTCTTCTCTGCTGGGGCTGCTCCCTTCCTTTGTCGGGGCCCCTGCTCCTTGGAACCTGTAACACAAACACTTGGCCAGGTTCCAGGCTTCTATAGTAAGGAGTAATGGCCCCTCTCTCCATGGCAGGAGCCCATACAGCTTCTAGCCTGCCACCAAAACCCCACTTCCAGCCCCACTTCTTTAGAGACACCAAGATAAGAGAGATCTTACTCATTCAACCCTTTCCCCAAGGGGGATACAGAGGAAGCGTCTTACCTGTCTTACCTGCCTTCTCTGCCTTGTCGCCCTTCTGTTGATGGGCCTGGAAGTGCAGGAGCTGACAGTGGGCATCCTGCCCTGCAGCAAGGATGTCACCAGCCAATGCCAAGTTCATGGTGGCCCGTGTCTCTGTGTCATGGGAGTGCACCAAGGAGGCACTCAAGCGCCCATTAATCCGCTCTAACTGCAGAAAGTGCTGTGGGAGGGGAAACCCGAATGAGCAACTTCAGAGGTGCCCAGAGAGCACAGCGTCTAGGGAACATCCTATAGCCTGATGCCTTACCCCTCTGCTTTCTGCACGTTCTAGTTCACAAGGGTTTCTCGAGTCTTTTTTTCTCTCATTTGGGCGTTACAAATCTATACAGCGAGCAGGGCTGGGATTATTACCTCCATTTTACAGAACTGGGTGAAGCTCAGAAGAGGGAGGGAACTTAGCCTAAACCCAAATACATCACTCTCGCCGCTGCTAGAGGGCAGGTAAGACCTCCCGGAAAGGGCCAGGTAAGACCCCTGGAGCTGCTCCGACGTGGAGCGGCGTTCCTGCCGATTCTGCAGGTGTGTGCCGGTTTCACGTTACCTTAAAAGCCTCTCCTCCGCCCGCCGAGTTCTCGACTGAAATTCGCGCCAGGGCGTCAGGCAGGCGGGTCTCCCCAACATAAGTGGGCAGGGCCCGAAGCTGGAGTGTGGCCCGCCCCGCGACCCCCGGCCACCCTGGAATCGCCGCCAGCCCGCAGCGTGACGCAGCCCCAGTGGCCCAGCGCTCACCACGCCATTCTTTATGCCTGTCTTGGCTGCGCCTCCTCCGCCCGCAGCAATGAGCAGCCCCGCGCTGGGGTCGACCTGAAGCGCGTACAACGGGAACGGAGCCCGATACAGCTCTGGCGCCCGGCGCCGGCCCATCCCGCCCGGCGCGCGTTCACTGCCAGCACCGCGGCACCCAGGACATGCCGCACCCGGCCTTCGACTACGGCCCCGGCCGCTGGCGAATTCGGTCCCGTAGCCGCCGGGAAGACTCCCGACCTCTCTCACACCGAAGGGTTACCAAAACCCAAACCACCGGACGACAGCCGAGGATCCACTCGTGTCAGTCAAAGACCGTCTCGCAGGCGCGCACTGCGCACGCGCACCCCTCCGCGCAGGCGCACGAGCGCCGAAACGCGTCAGCACTAGCCGCTCGCGGGCTCGCGTTCCTCCGGGCGGGGATGGAGGCGCAGTCGCCCAGTATCGACTAAGCCGTCTTTGTGCGGAACGGAGGTGGAGGGGTTGGGAGAAGGAGGTGGAGCCAGTGGAGGTTGATGAAGGTCAGTAAACCTTTAATAAGGAAATCCGCCGGGCGCAGTGGCTCACGCCTGTAATCCCGCACTTTGGGAGGCCAAGGCGGACGGATCACTTGAGTTCAAGAGTTTGAGACCAGCCTGACCAACATGGAGAAACTCCGTCTCTACTAAAAATACAAAATTGGCTGGGCGTGGTGGCATGCTCCTGTAATCCCAGCTACTTGGGACTCCTAGGCAGGAGAATCACTTGAACCCCGGAGGCAGAGGTTGCAGTGAGCCAAGATTGCGCCACTGCACTCCAGCCTGGGCAACAAGAGTGAAACTCCCATCTCAAAAAAGAAAGAAAGAAAGAAATTCCTCTGCCAGGCGCAGTGGCTCACGCCTATAATCCCAACACATTTGGAACGTCCTAGAGAGGAGGATGGCTTGAGCTCAGGCCAACATGAGGAGACCTCGTCTCTACAAAATATTTAAAAATTAGCTGAGCATCGTGGCACCCATGGGCTCTGCTGCCCAGGAGGCTCAGGAGGGAGGATCAGTTGACACCAGGAAGTCGAGGCTGCAGTGAGCTATGATGTCACCTCTGCACTCCAGCCTAGGCAACAGAGCTAGACCCTGTCTCTCTCACACACACAAAAAAGAAATCCTCGAATTAGGACTGTACCCATTTGAGGATACGCCAACTCCTAGAAGCACAGCCCTTACATTTTACCCCAGAAAGGAAGTGATTTGCCCGAGGGCACACACCAGAAACCACCAGAGCGTCTTAACGGAGGCAGCATGAACTTAAAAATAAACCTGCCTGGCCGGGCGTGGTGGCTCATGCCTGTAATTCAAGCACTTTGGAAGCCAAGGCAGGCGGATCACCTGAGGTCAGGAGTTCAAGACCAGCCTGACCAACATGGTGAAACCCCGTCTTCATATAAAAAAATAAACCTGGCCGGGCGCGGTGGCTCAAGCCTGTAATCCCAGCACTTTGGGAGGCCGAGGCGGGTGGATCACGAGATCAAGAGATCGAGACCATCCTGGTCAACATGGTGAAACCCCGTCTCTACTAAAAATACAAAACATTAGGTGGGCATGGTGGCGCGTGCCTGTAATCCCAGCTACTCAGGAGGCTGAGGCAGAATTGCCTGAACCCAGGAGGCGGAGGTTGCGGTGAGCCGAGATCGCACCATTGCACTCCAGCCTGGGTAACAAGAGCGAAACTCCGTCTCAAAAAAATAAAAATAAAAAATAAAAAAATAAAAAAATAAACCTGACTTCAAATACTGAATACATCACTTCCTCGTATGGGGAAACTCTGTCATCCTTAACACCTACCTGCCCACAATAGGCAGGGGCAGTGTCTGCCATTCCCTTTCGCAGGGTTTCACGCTCTTGGCCTGGTTACTTGGTGGGTAGCTAGCTGCTTTGCTGGCCTCAAAGGGGGCATTTCAGCTCCTGGGCAGTTATCTTCTGCACCTAACACTCCATCCTCCTGAGGGCACCCTCGAGTTTCTGATGAGGACCTCTGTGCACTCCTGAGAGCGAGCTCCAGGGATGTCCTTCCCTGCAAGGAGACACCCCTCCTGCATCCTCATTAACGTAAGGTGCACCCAGAGGAATGGTACAGTGTCTGCATCTTTGGGGATACTAATATCTGCCCCCACAAGTTGATTTAGATGTGTGAAGGACCTGGCCCAGCCCTCTGCACGTCTTTTTTTTTTTTTTTTTTTTTTTTTTTTTTTTTTTTTGGTTTGAGATGGAGTCTCGCTCTGTTGCCCAGGCTGTACTGCAGTGATGCAATCTTGGCTGACTGCAACCTCTGCTTCCTGGGTTCAAGTGATTTTCCTGCCTCAGCCTCCCAAGTGGCTGGGATTATACGTGCCTGCTACCATCCCTGGCTAATTTTTGTATTTTTTGTAGAGATGGGGTTTTGTCATATTGGCCAGGCTGGTCTCGAACTCCTGACCTTGTGATCTGCCTGCCTTGGCCTCCCAAAGTGCTGGAATTATAGGCATGAGCCACCGCACCCAGCCTTCCTCTGCACATCTCAAGTCCCCAGGCCTTGTGGGTCCCTTGTCCTCCTTGGATACATGGCACCTACTCTTCTGGCCTTTCTGTTTCCTTTGACACTATACTCCAGGGTCTTTTTTCTTTCTTTCTTCTTATTTATGTATTTATTTTAAGAGACAGACTCTCTGTCACCCAGGCTGAAGCGCAGTGGTGCCATCTTGGCTCACTCAACCTCCGCCTTCTGGGTTCAAGCGATTCTTCTGCCTCAGCCTCCTGAGTAACTGAGATTACAGGCACCTGCCTCTATATCTGGCTAATTTTTGTGTTTTTAGTAGAGACAGAGTTTCAACATGTCGTCCAAGCTGGTCTCGAACTCCTGATCTCGTGATCCACCCATCTTGGCCTCCCAAAGTGCTGGGATTACAGGCGTGAGCCACTGTGCCCAGCCTCTTTATTTTTTGAAACAGAGTCTTGCTCTGTCACCTAGGCTGGAGTGCTCTATCACCCAGGCTGGTGCTATGTCGGCTCACTGCAACCTCTGCCTCCTGGGTTCAAGCAATTCTCCTGCCTCAGCCTCCTGAGTAGCTGGAACTACAGGCACCTGCCACTATACCTGGCTAATTTTTGTGTTTTTAGTAGAGATGGAGTTTCACCATGTTGGTCAGGCTGGTCTCGAACTCCTGACCTCAAGTGATAACGTCCACCTCAGCCTCCCAAAGTGCTGGGATTACAGTTGTGTGCCACCACACCCTGCCTCTGTTTTTTTTTTGAGACAGGGTCTTGCTGTTACCCAGGCTGGAGTGCAGTGGCATGATATAGGTCATTACAACCTTGAACTCCTGGACTTAAGTGATCTTCCCATTTCAGCCTCTTGAGTAGCTGGTAGTACAGGCATACCTCACCACACTCAGCTGATTTATATATATATATATATATTTTTTTTTTTTTTTTTTTTTTTTTTTTTTTTTTGAGAGACCGGGTCTTCCTATGTTGCCCAGGCTGGTCTGAAACTCCTGGTCTCAAGTGATCCTACTTCAGCTTCCCAATGTGTTGGGATTTTAGGCATGAACCAACTCCCCGCCAACCAAGGGTCTTGTTGGGGACTGGCACCCCTGTAGTTATAGCCACCCATTCTGTGGACTCAGCAGGACACAAACACAAGTTTCACAGCGCCAAACTTTATTAGATACACAGAAGGCTGAATGGGGCCTTGGTGCCCTTGGTCCTCTTCAGCCAGGAGAGAGGAGACTCCACAAGGGGCTCCCAGGGTTCAGGGCAGGAGAACACACCTGACCTCCAGCCAGCCAGCCCTTCAGGGTATCTCGGGGACTCCCTGAGATCTGGGGCCTGGTTGGGAGAGTAGCGTTTGGAGGGGGTGCTCCGGGGAGCCTCCGTGGCTCTGGAACTAGACTCGTGACTTTTGGAGAATGAGCTCCAGAGAAACTGGCCTCTTTGGGGCAGGGCCAGGCCTGGGCTTCGGGGAGGTAGTGGCCTGTTTTGGTGCCCGAGGTAGAGGCCCGGAGAAACATGGTGGGGAGTTCGGTGGTTGAGGGCCTGCAGACTTGAAGCTCCTGGTCTGGGTGGATGTGCCTGGGGCTGGGTCTGCCCAGGCCTGAGCTGCTGGAGGCCGAGATGTTCGTGATGGATGCCCACAGGCCTGAGTAGCCTTGCCCTGAGGCCCTACTTCCTTCAGCCTTTCTTCTGGCAGCAGATGCAAGGCCCTGGCCTGGCCTCGAGGTAGGCGGAGGCCGAAGCCGATGCCTATTTGGAGTGACCCAGATTCCTGGCCCTGCACACAGGGCTGTAGTTGGGGAAAGGCAAGCAGCCGGGGTCCAGTCTTGTACTTGGGCATGGGGCAGGACGGGGTGCGGGGCCGGAGGCACACCAGGCATACAGGATACTCCACGACTGGGGCCTGGCCAGCTCTGCCTAGCCACAGGCGCTGCAAAAGCAGTAGCCGCAGGTCGTGTGCGATGCGGCGGTGCCCCAGATGGACCACCAGGGCCTGGGCCAGGGCCCCTGGGTCTCTGAACTGTGCAGGATCCTTCTCGCTTGGCACGCATCTCTCTACCACCCCAGGGGACCCGGACCCGTTGTCCCTGGACTGACGCCAGTGCCATGTCTGCCCGTTAGAGTGGAGCCTATGAGAAGGTAGGCTGGGGCTTGGGGAAGCGAGTGTGGAGTTAGGCAGGTCTTCGGGGTGGGAAGGAGACTGGCACCGTGAGTGGGGAAGGGAGGGGTTCTGGGGCTGGGAGGGAGAGAAGGAGGGGCTCTGAGGAGGAGAGGGGTACAGCCAGTGGTTCAAGGGAGAGGATGAACGTGGACAGGAGAGAGAGAGGTGATTCTGGTGAAAGAGAGTGGGGGAACTTGGGAGAAAGAGAGAGTAGGAATGTGGAGCTAAGTCAGAGTTTGAGGCAGAAGAGCCGAATTGGAAGCCAGGAGAGGGGGATGCTGGTGGAGGTGAGGACGGGGGATGGAACTGAGTGGAACAGAACGGTGAGTGAGAGGGAGGGAGGGACTGATGGGGAGAGAGAGGCTGTAGGTTGTGAGGAGAGGAGTCCACAAGTTGTGAGAGGTCCTGAGGGGGGCACCTAGGGAGCACTGAGTTCTGTGGCAGCACCTGGTCCTTGTTTCCAGGCAACATCGCCTTGAATCCAGAAGGGACTGGGCAACAAGACCAGGGATGAGAAACCCGGCAGAGTCAGGACCAGTATCTCTGAGGTCAGCTGTGCCTCAGAAATTAAGGCCACCTTCTGTGTGCAGAGCGTGGCTCCAGCCTGGTGTGGGTACAGGTGCTGGTGGCAGGCCAGCCCTCCAGCGCCAGGCTCTCTGGGTGTTCAGGCAGGAGCATGGGACTCAGCTTGACTTCTCAAGTCTTTGCAGTCGGCCGTTGATGAGGGATGTGCGGGGATGGAGAATCACAGCTGCCTCTTGGGAGCTGAGGGACAGCAGCAATTATCTGGTGGGGCAAAGAGGAAGACAAAGCCCATAGGACCTGGAGAGAAAAGAGAGAGCCCAAGACATTGGGAGAATTGGTCCATTTCCAGCTCTGCCTCATGTCCCCAGTTCCAGGCTGAACTCACCAAGACTTTAAATCCATGTCACCTTTAGGATCAAAGGAACTGGCAGAATGCTCCAGGGAAGGTGAGAAGTAGGGAGGAGAGGAATAAGGAGGAAGGGAGAGTAGGATGGAGTTGGAGGAGGGGTTTGGGGAATACGGGCTGAGATGGGAACAGGAATTGAGGTGTTCTGGTGCTGGGAGCTCTTACCAATGAGGATTCCTCTGGGCTGTGTTTCACAGGCACTTCAGCATTGAGAGGATCTGGGCGAGAGGAGCAGAGTCAACAAATGGTGGCTACACCTCTTTGTTCCCGGCATCTAACCCTAACCTGGGTTTCTGCCTGAGCCCTGAGTTTTGCCCTCCGTCTTCCTTCAGCCAGGCGGAGGCCTACGGTACAGGTTTTTGTTCTCTTAATCCTGCCTTGGGGGTTCTGCAATCATCCCAGTTTTCTGCCACTCTGGTTCCTCTGACCCCTTGTCGCCCCTACTGCTGATGTCCTCTAGCTCACCCTGGCCCAGGTGGAGATGGCTTATTATACCCAGCAGCAGCAGGAATGGGGCCAGCTGGTAAAAGCCTCTGGAAGACTGGGACTTTGTCTAAGGGGTGGCACCAGGGTCGCCACCCCCAATGGGAGCTGGCGGCCCCATTCACTGAGTTGATTTCTCCCTGGCAGCATGTGCCTGTGTCACAAAGGTCAGGTGATGACATCATAGAATCTCCTCCTCTAGGCTCTGGGACCTTCTTCCAGAGGTCATCCAAAGGCTGGCCCTGGATAAAACTGTGAAGCAGACAAAATTCTTCAGTGCACTCAGTTTCTCCTTCAAGTCCCTCTACTCTTGGGCCATACACTTTACAGCTCCAGCCGCCTCCTTCATCTATTGCTCTCCCCATCCACACAGCCTGTCTGGGCTGAGCTGATGCACCACACCTATCTCCCCTTTGGGATATACCTATTATATATGGCTTTTTGGTTGTTGTTGTTTTGTTTTGTTTTGAGGCGGAGTCTCGCTCTATCGCCCAGGCTGGAGTGCAGTGGCACAATCTCAGTATACTGCAACCTCCGCCACCCAGGTTCAAGCGATTCTCCTGCCTCAGCCTCCCAAGTAGCTGGAACTATAGGTGTGAGCCACCATGCCCAGCTAATTTTTTGTATTTTTAGTAGAGACGGGATTTCAGTGTTAGACAGGATGGTCTCGATCTCCTGATCTCGTGATCTGCCTGCCTTGGCCTCCCAAAGTGCTGGGATTACAGGAGTGAGCCACTGTGCTCAGCCATATGTTTTCATAACTATTTTATTGGGATATAATTCACATACCTTACAATCTACCCATTTAAAGGGTACAAGTCAGTGTCTTCTAGTACATTCACAGGGTCGTAGAACCACCTCGACAATCTAATTTTATAACATTTTTGTTCTCCCAAAAAGAAATCCTGTACCCATTAGCAGTTGGTCCCCACTCTTCCCCCAGGCCCTGGAAACCACAAATCTACTCTGTTTTTATAGGTTTGTATATTCTAGACATTTCATATAAATGGAATTATTCAATATATAGTCGTTTGCATCTGACTTCTTTTAGTTAGCATGTTTGCAAAGTTCATTCGTGTTGTAGCATGTATCATTGCTTTATTCGTTTTTATTGACAGATAATATTCCTTTGTATGGATATACCATATTTTGTTTATCCATTCATTAGTTGATGGACATTTTGGTTCTTTCTACCTTTTTTTTCTTTTGAGATGACGTCTCACTCTGTTACCCAAGCTGGAGTGCAGTGGCACCATCTAAGCTCACTGCAACCTCTACCTCCTGGGTTCAAGTGACTCTCCTGCCTCAGCCTCTTGAGTAGCTAGGCCTATAGGCACACAACACAATGCCAGGCTAATTTTTGTATTTTTAGTAGAGATAGGGTTTTACTATGTTGGCCAGATTGTTCTTGAACTCCTGACCTTGTAATCCACCCGCCTCAAACTCCCATAGTGCTAGGATTAGAGGTGTGAGCCATTGTGCCCAGCCCGGTTATTTCTACTTTTTAGCAATTATGAATAGAGCTGCTATGAACATTTTTGTATAAGTTTTATGTGGACATATGGTTTCATTTATCTTTAGATACGTAGGAGCAGAATTGTTGAGTTACATGACGAGTCTATATTTAATATTTTGAGGAACTACCAAACTGTCTTCCAAGTTGGCTGTACCAATTTCAATCCCATCAGCGAGGTACAAGGGTTCCAATGTTTCCTTATCCTTACCAACACATGTTGTTGCCTGTCTTTTTTATTTTAGCAATCCTAGTAGGTGTGAAACAGTATGATATTGTGGTTTTATTTACATTTTCCTAATGACTAATCATGTTGAGCATCTTTTTTTTTTTTTTTTTTTTTTGAGATGGAGTTTCGCTCTTGTTACCCAGGCTGGAGTGCAATGGCGCAATCTCGGCTCACCGCAACCTCCGCCTCCTGGGTTCAGGCAATTCTCCTGCCTCAGCCTCCTGAGTAGCTGGGATTACAGGCACGCACCACCATGCCCAGCTATTTTTTTTGTATTTTTAGTAGAGACGGGGTTTCACCATGTTGACCAGGATGGTCTCGATCTCTTGACCTTGTGATCCACCCGCCTCGGCCTCCCAAAGTGCTGGGATTACAGGCTTGAGCCACCGCGCCCGGCCACGTTGAGCATCTTTTCATGTGCTAAGGGATATTTGTTTATCTTCTTTGAAGAATTATATATTCAAATCCTTAGCCTATCTTTTTTTTAATTAAAAATATTACAAACTGGCCGGGCGCGGTGGCTCAAGCTTGTAATCCCAGCATTTTGGGAGGCCGAGGCGGGTGGATCACGAGGTCAAGAGATCGAGACCATCCTGGTCAACATGGTGAAACCCCGTCTCTACTAAAAATACAAAAAATTAGCTGGGCATGGTGGTGCGTGCCTGTAATCCCAGCTACTCAGGAGGCTGAGGCAGGAGAATTGCCTGAACCCAGGAGGCGGAGGTTGCGGTGAGCCGAGATCGCGCCATTGCACTCCAGCCTGGGTAACAAGAGCGAAACACCGTCTCAAAAAAAAAAAAAAAAAAAAAAAATTACAAATTATTTTGTTTTAAAGATGGGGTTTCACCATATTGGTCAGGCTGGTGGTCTTGAACTCCCAACCTCAGGTGATACGCCCGCCTTGGCCTCCAAAGTGCTTGGATTACAGGTGTGAGCCACCACGCCCAGCCTAGCCTATCTTTTTAAAAGCCAACCATATTTAGCAGTGGGGGGTTGTATGCCAACTTCTGTGACGTATCTTTTTTTTTTTTTTTTGAGATGGATAGTTTCGCTCTTGTTGCCCAGGCGGGAGTGCAATGGCACGATCTCAGCTCGCAGCAACTTTCGCCTCCCTGGCTCAAGTGATTCTTCTGCCTCAGCCTCCAGAGTAGCTGGGATTACAGGCATGCACCACCATGCCTGGCTAATTTTGTACTTTTAGTAGAGACAGGCTTTCTCCATGTTGGTCAGGCTGGTCTCGACCTCAGCCTCCCAAAGTGCTGGAATTATAGGCATGAGCCACCTCAGCAGGCTCCCCTTCCCTCCCCTCCTCTCCCCTCCCGTCCCCTCCCCACCCCTCTGACAGTTTCACTCTTGTTGCCCAGGCTGGAGTGCAAGGGTGTGATCTTGGCTCACAGCAACCTCTGCCTTCCAGGTTCAGGCGATTCTCCTGCCTTGGCCTCCCGAGTAGCTGGGATCACAGGCACCCGCCACCACCTGGCTACTTTATTTTTATATTTTTAGTGGAGAGGGGGTTTCACCATGTTGGTCAGGCAGGCTAGTCTCATGACCTTAGGTGATCCACCAGCCTCTGTCTCCCAAAGTGCTGGGATTACAGGCCTGAGCCACCATGCCCAGCCTGTTTTAGCTTTTCTTTCTTGTTTTTCGTGTCTTGTCTAAGAAACCATTGCCTAATCCAAGGTCACAGAGATTTGCTCTATGTTTTCTTCTAAGAATTTTACAGTTTTTGCTCTTACATTTAAGTTTATTATCTATTTTGAAGGATTTTGTTTTGTTTAAGGAGCAGTGTCTCACTTTGTCACCCAGGCTGGAGTTCAGTATTATAATCATAGTTCACTGCCACCTTGAACTCCCAAGCTCAAGGGATCCTCCTGCGTTGGCCTTCCCAAATGCTGGAATTACAGGCATGTGCCACCACACTCGGTCCATTTTCAGCTAATTTTTATATATGGTGAGAGGTAAAGGTTCAACATAATTCTTTTGTATGTGGATATCCAGTTATCCCAATATCATTTGCTGAAAAGACTTTTCCACTAGCTTGGGCAACACAGTAAAACCCATCTTACCAAAAAAACAAAAACAAACAAACAAAAAACAAGAAAGAAAGAAATTCACATGGTGTTGTGATGCATTCCTGTAGTTCCAGCCACTTGAGAGGCTGGGGTGGGAGGATGGCTTGAGCCAAGGAGTTGGAGGATGCAGTGAGCCAAGATTGTGCCACTGCACTCCAGCCTGGGTGACAAAGAAGAAAATCCTCTTTCAAAAACAAAACAAAACAATTATTTCTTCCTCCATACAATTTTCTTGGCACTCTT